CCCCGCCCCCATGCGCTTCGCCCCATCGATTCGCCCCCAGACAAAGTTGCGATCCGAGCTCGTAAAACATAAACGTGTTTTGGGAATGAAGTTTTCTCTATGAAGACACTGTTGTCAGGTCTAAACCGTTCCCTCCACCACTTGCTACCATTTCGTGATGTCGGCCCGCGGAAGAGATTTATATTTCACATTTGGGGTAGCCTTCCTTTTATCGGTCGTCCCTCTCGTTCCACGCAAGACTCCCAAAGAAAGAAATGTCACATGGGCGCGCCAGCTACGGCTGTCTCCTCCTCCACATAATATGCTAGTCTTTCTGAACATACGAAATCGTCCGTCAACTTTTTCCGCTTCGGTCCTGAAAAATGAATAGAATTTTATAATGTAAGATAAACACTACCAACAAGCCCAGTCATCTTCTGTTTTATCGGAGGAGCTCGAAAGTGACGTCTCCGCGGATTGCTCCGCGGCATCCGTAACGCCTTCGTTCAATAATGCTCGGTGAAGAAAGAGAAGGCCTCCGCGCCCACCGCGCTGAAGGACACCCCTGCCCTTATTCCTAATAAATCACGCACCTCACCGTAATATCGCATATTCTTTAGATCTAATGCTTAATACTAAACAGTTTTCACGTCGAGGAGAGGAGAGGAAAGGAGAGGAGAAATGTTAACAGTATTTATGGCCAGTATTAAGTTATCGCTAATGGGCTGGTTTACTCAAGCTGGGGTTGCAGATTTATGGGTCAACGTGTTTTTATCCGTTAACTTGGTTATGAGACGATAAACCGGGATTACGCCTATTGAACTGTTGTTAAAAATCCGTTTCCTTTCGTTATAAGGGTATAATGCCGATGTATTCCAGGAACTGTCATGTCGGAAAATATTGTGGCAAAATCTGCAAGGAAAGTCGCCAAGTCGTTTTATCATTATGTTCTCGTTCTCTCGGTTTGCTCAATGCATGCGATTTCTTAGAAAATTGGTCACTATGGTCGTAACGTTTTCTCGTTTCTTTGCAGCTCCCATTTGTTATCTATTTCTAACGTAGCGTTGAAATATATTATATTCCATTATAATGTTGCATCGTTTACACAGGAGAAAAAGTTAGCAAACATTTCTTAGAATGAAAAATGTAGTTCATAGTTCATCAATACTCTGCACTTTTGTCTAAGAAGATAAATGATCATGTTTGACACCTATTAAACGTTTTAAACTTCATTTTCTGAGTCGAGAGCACCCTCAATCCACGTCAGTGTACGCATATTCATCTCTTAGGTATCACAGTTTCCACATTTTACTGATGCTTCGTACTTGCTTAATGGAATAGTATTAGTACTTTGCTTTGCTCTTTGTTCTTGGTATATAATTGATATTTGAATTTTACGCAACAACAGACAGTTTAGAATATTTATTTTACCACCTTTAATTGTGGGCCTGATAGATTTCTAAGAAATAATGCTGCATTATATACATTACAGCTCGAAGTCCGTTGTAGATTTCTTAACAACTGCGCTTTTATTTACTTGACTGTTCTTATCAAAAACTCAGAAAATATTTTCGCATTTTTGTCAGTTATCGTATTTTTACTTAAAATAAAAGTGAATTGTCTAAATAGAA